TGATAAATTACGCTGTGATATCATTTTTGGTATCCAAACATATGTAAGAAAAACTTTGTTTGATTCAAAATAATTAAAAAAAAAATTTAAAACTTATGTAATTAGTATGAAATAATTTTTTTCAATATTCAATTTTTTACAGAAGAAAATGACAAGTTATTGATGTCCGATAATACTGGAATTATAAGCTCAATAATCCATGATCATCATTATGATGCTTCTCCAGCAACACTGCGTAGAAAACTTGTAAAAAGTCAAAAAATATTAAAGAATAAGGACCGTATTATTAAACTTCAGAGACGACAGCTTCAACATCTTCGAATACGCTTAATAAACTTAAAAGATATAATAATGAAATTACGACGTCAACGTATGATAAAGCCAGTGCATGAGAAAATTATTTGAGCTGCCTTAATTCAATTTGAGGTATAAAAGAATTTATAGTGTCTTAGAAAATGATAAGTCGTTGAGCAAACGCCAATGTCCACAAATTTTGTGTTAACTAAATTTTTGTTTATCTTGTGCATATAATTGTGTGTGAGAACAGACTTTGTCTACAGCAAGTGCATTAAGATCGTGATACAATTTCATAGAGAGTTGGAATTCGTTTTGAAAAGTTTTATAACGTTAAAATATAAAGTTAAAAAACAACTATGAAGAGAATAGAGAAATTACTCTCATTTATTATGGATGAAGTGTCAATTAAAAATAAAGAATCCAGAGGAGATAGTAGATTGTGAATTTTGCTGAATTTAAAACGGATGATACTTTGCAAGAAATCTGCAATACTTTAGCTTTAATGGTTTTATCTTTTGGTAATAGAAATTGCTTATTGATTATTTTTTAATTGATGAAGTTAATTCTAAAATATTAAGTTTATAAAAACTAGTTTAATTAAATGACATGAAATTGGAGTTATAATTATATTTTTAACTTTGGATGATACTAATGAGCACGCGTCTATGGTACAAATATTGAATACTAAATTTGACATTTAATTTTAGAATCCTCTCTTTTTTTTATCCTGTAACTTAAAGATATGTTTATTTTGATAGTTATCAAATGCTCAAATTAATTCAAAATGTATTTGGTGATTGGATATTTTTTTATAATGATGATAACAAAATTGAATGGAAAAATATATTGGTTTTTTAGCGTTTTTTCAAGAAACTGAAAGATTATGGAAAAGAAATAAATAACAGTTAAATCATTAAATATTTTAAAAGAATCAAAATTAACTTGATTGCCAAAACTTTGAGTCAGTGTTGTTGATACTTTAGTTTTTTAATTGATAGATTTTAGTTTTAGTTGATATTTTAGAGTTTTGTATGAACAAAATTTATTGAAATTAATCAGAATTTTAGGGCTGTGAAACAACGATTTGATTTATATTTGTTTCATAGATATTTGGTTAACTAAATTCGCGTAATTCTATCAAGCATATGAAGTTTTCTTGAGAGATGAGAAAATCAATGTATATAGCGATTATGAATAGAACGAATTTTTATTTTTATTTTGACGTTGAAAAATGAAATAGATTTATTTCAAAATATTATGTAAGATGGGCTTTATAGTAATTTATTCAGCTGCTCAAGTTGTTATGAAAACTTTTGAACTATATTAAAGTAATTCTGATAACTCTCAGCTTCGATATTTATTAATTTATGAATTGAATTAGCAGAATCATTTAGATGTATGTTTTTGCACTATTAGATTATTTTGACTAATAAAAAAACTTCCTTTTTTTTTTAAACTTCATGGACAATTTATTTTAAATCTTTATGTATCTAATGTTATATATAATACATACTTTATTTATAATTAATAAGGAAAATAAAAATAATGAAAATTATAGTAATTGTAAAAATGTTTGCATGATGTGTCCGAATCTTTTATGATTTTTATAAAATCTGGACACTTAGTGATCTGAAATAAAAAAATGAATAAATTTATTAATAGATGTTCAGTTATCGTTGAAATTAGCAGAATTGAAATATAAAAATTTTTCATTTTTTTCTGATATAAAACTTTATTTTATAATGATTTTATAAATATAATTTTTACACGCTTTAAAATTATTGAGAAAATAAATTATTTTGTATAATCTTAATTTCGTAAACATCTATTTCAGATTACTGAATGTTCAGATTT